AAAATGCTTTTTGATTGAATAATTCTGAGGAATACAAAGTAATGAATATATAGGCGGAGTTGGAGTATTCTAGAATTTACCATATTAATGGATAGATAAATAAGGAAATAATTGATAATAATAATAACTCTAGCTATGATAGGTAACAACCCTAGATATAATATATAATATTAAACATATTAAAATAATTAATATATTTAGGTGGATCAACGAGAATTCCGGTGGTGGTTGAAGAGTGGGCATTTGATTCAAGTTTTTCCACTCGCTAACTTGCACACATGTAAGACTCTTTGGTCTGTGTTTCAAGATGGGTCGACCGACCTTGATCTTTTGAGAAGGTTTTGAGTGTGAGCATACCTATTAGGACGAGAAAGATGGTGAACTATGCCTGAGCAAGGTGAAGCTATAGGAAACTCTGGTGGAAGCCCGCAGGGATACTCACGTGCAAATCGTTTGTCTGACTTGGGTATAAGGGCGAAATACTAATCGAACCATCTAGTAGCTGGTTCCTTACGAAGTTTCCCTTAGGATAGTTGGAGCTGGTGTGAGAGTTCTATCAGGTAAAGCTAATGATTACAGGCATTGGGGGTGCAATGCCCTTGACCTATTCTCAAACTTTAAATAGGTAGGAGGATGCGGCTACTTTGTTGAGTCGTGCCACCAAATTAACAGCTCTAAGTGGGCCATTTTTAGTAAGTAGAACTAGTGATGCAAGATGAACCAGAAGCCGGGTTACGGTGCCAAAATATGCACTAACCTAGATCCCACAAAGGGTGTTGGTCGATTAAGACAGCAGGATGGTGGTCATTGAAGTTGAAATCCGCTAAGGAGTGTGTAACAACTCACCTTCCGAATCAACTAATCCCGAGAATGGATGGCGCTTAAGCGTGCGACCTATTCTCGACCGTTGGGGCAAGATCCAAGCGCCAATGAGTAGGAGGGCGCAGTGGGTTGAGCGGCCATCGGTGCAAGTCTTTGTGGTAGTGGCAATATTCAAATGAGAACTTTGAAGGTTGTAGAGGGGAAAGGTTCCATGTGAACGACACTTGCACATTGGTTAGTCGATCCTAAGGGCCGGGGGAACCCTGACAGATAGTAGGTTCAGTGCGTGCACCGAAAGGGAATCGAGTTAAAAATGCCCCTAGATGTTTTGGGCTGCACGTGCGCTACACTGATGTATTCAATGAGCGTATAGCCTTGGCCGATAGGTTCGAGTAATCTTTGAAATTTCATCGTGATGGTGATAGCTCATTCCAATTATTGGTCTTCAACGCGAAATTCCTAGTCAGTGTGAGTCATTAGCTCGAGTACCTTTGCCCTTTGTACACACTTCCCGTCGTTCTGATACCATGTAAAATAATAAAGAATTCTTTTTTAATGAATAATTTTAAGGAATACAAAGTAATGAATATATAGGCAGAGTGTGAGTATTCTAGAATTCTCCATATTAATGACTAAGTAAATAAGGAAATATTGGATAATAATAACTCTAGCTAAAATAGGTAACATCCAAAAATATAATATATAATATTAAACATATTAAAATAATTAATATATTTAACAGTTCTTAATCTCGAAATAGAAGTTAAGATACATATACAGAAACCATGACTAGGCCTGGCAATCGGGTCAATTGCTTCGATTTTAGTTCAAATCTTTTCAGTTTGGGTGTCTTCCGGATATATGTTATCCTTGGTATTAGCCTTGTGTGTAGCCTCTCCTCCCTATGCGTAGAGGGGTATATATACAAATGTCATCTGTAATGGGATAGTATATCCATCAATGGGTGTTATGATGTCACTATAAATTATACTCCCTCCATCCCAAAAAGATCTTCCTGTTTCATTTTTTGCGCGTCTCATAAAACACTTCTATCCCGCCTCAAATGCAAAAAAAACTTTCAAAACAACTTCTACTTACAAAAAATGAGAAATGTGGTAAATTTTAGGCATTTTAGATGTGTATAGAAGTGTTTTATAGGATGCGCAAAAAATGAAACAGGAAGATCTTTTTGGGACGGAGGGAGTATATACTCTGTATAAAATAGGCAACCACATAAGTTTAAGTGATAAAATACGAAATATAAAATTTATACATGAAAGTACTTGTACCTCTAATTCAAATATAGTTTTTCTTAGATAGACATCAACTAATAATTGAGCTATCAGGTTTGACTGGATTTGAGTTTAATATGTTTGGAATTTGATCAATATCGGGTCTAATCGGTTTTGGGTCTAGTCGGTTTCAGATTTAACCAGTTTTAGGTTTGGATTCTGATCTAAATTGTATTTGAATACATTCGGTTCGATTTGGAACATTTCAGGTGTTCGATTATAATTTGGTTCTTCAATTTTCAGGTAATTTCAGATTCGGTTTCAGGTTTTTTAGTTTGAGTTATCAGATACGGGTCTGTTTTGCCAGGTCCAATCATTACCATATACATGACAAAAAAATATTGAGAAATGTACATATGCAATGCCACATTAGAGTAATGCTAGAGTCACAAACAAACCGTTCACAAAATTCACAATTTTGCCTTTTTAGCACTTTCCTAAAAATAAGATGCACTCAAATATTAAAAAGTATTTTAATTTAAATTTCAAAAAAGGCAAATTTCTGAACTTTGTGAACTTTAAGTTTGTGACTCTAGCATTTTCCGCCACATTACCACAATGCAAACTCTTATTTTGGGAGTAATAACATAAAAATTTTATTTTGATACTTTTTTTATATTTTATTCTTATTTAGGCTAATTTTTCATGATCATCCTCATACTCCAATCCAACGGGTAGTACGTGAGGGGGGTGGGAGATTAAATTATTAAACTATAATTATTAATTATAATAATATAAGATGAATAATAGTTTCAAAATATATGTAAAGGTATATTAATTAGATAAAATAATATTTTATCTAATTAAATAAAATATACGTTGTATATGATATATTAATTAGATAAAATTATATATTAAAAATATTTTATAAAATAGATCTAATAAAATAGTTTTGTTTCAATATCTAATAATATTTTTATTTAATTTGTGACTAAAGTTTATCAGTTTTGACAAAAAAAATAAACAAATTTGAGAAGTAGTAAATAGATTTTGTGTGCCAAATTGGGGTATAGTATATAACTTGATTTACACCCCACGTAATTTGTCACACAAAAAGGCTTTTTCTTAGGTTGTTCAAATCAATTAGAGTATAAATATAGACGTCGCTATCTAATGGTAGCTTGGAAGCAACATTGTCTTTGTGAATGGGGACGGAACTTTTTAGCAAAGTATTCTCTGACAAATCGTAATTGCTTGCGTGGTTATTTAACTAACTTATCAGTGAAGCATGATACGTTAGAGATAGACTAAAAGTGTATTCCACGTTGTATTCCTAAGAAATATACATATATTTTAATAGTTCACACGGATAGAAAATGTTAGTTCAATTAAAAAAATTACATTGATATCTTTTGTCAATGTAAACCATCACACTAACATAAAATGTCGGTGCATGCCTTTGGGGTACAAAATAAAGTACAAATTTTGGTGTACAAATAACTTAAACTCTGAAGCATACATACTTGTATTTATCCTAAATTGTATACTCTAGGTATGCCCCGAAACTGTGATTGTTCACACTCTCACAAAATGATAGCTCAAAATATTTTGATGTATTAATATTTTATGTGAGTATGAACTATCAAAATCTTAGTGCGCACTTGTGATACACTTAGCATGGTTGGCTAATGAAATGTACTCCATATTGCGTCTAACCAACACATTTAAGACTATTTAGAGCGTGTTCTTTAGGACTGGAAAAAAAGATCTGGATATTGGAAGAAACTTGAAGAAACTGGAAGAGACTGGAAGAAACTTGAAAAAACTGGAAGAAACTGGAAAAAACTAGAAAAACTGGAAGAAACTGGAAAACCTTCAAAAAATTGGAAAACCTAAAAAAAATTTAAAGAAATTTATTTTAAATTCTTGTTGTTATAAATTATTATTATTATTATTATTATTATTAAAATTATTATTATTATCATCATCATCACGTTATCTTAATAAATGCATTTAAGATACAAAAAAAGTGTTGTTATTTTTCAAATACAAAAAACTACTTTTGCAAAAAAAAAATTATAATATAAAGTTAGCATAAATATAAAAATATTAAATTTTAAAAGGTATTTGTGGTTACGTTGCACCTCAATTTATTTATGAAATACTTATTATAAATAATATATTTGTAATTATACTTTATATACTAAAAGATTTTGTTTTAAATATCAGACATGTCACATAATGTAATCAAACCTATTTTTCTTTCATGATTGACATTTTATTTTCATTGAAGTTTTATTTTTAGAATAAATACATAGAACTGTTTTTACATTTCTCATATTTTACTTCTATTTTAGTCTTTTTTTCTAAACTATTTTGGCTTTCAATTTTTTTTTATAAAAATTAGAAAAATGAGAAAATTTTAAGTAATAAAGAGAAAGGTGAGAGGTCTTATATAAAGTTAGATTAATAAAACATTCTATTTCACTATTTTATCTATAATTTTTTAATATAGTTTTAACATAATGATATTTTCCTATTTTATCCTGTAGATTAATATACAAAACAATTGTCTTATTCATATTAAAAAGCTGAAGGAAAAAATAATGAGTGTGAATCGTAAAAAAGTGAGATGAAAAAATAATTTATAAACTATAGTTATGAACACAACAGTTTTAATAATAATAATGATCAAATTAAAAATATATCGTTTTTAGAGTAATTGGTTAGGAAGTAGAAAGAGTTTGAAGAAAATGAGAAGGAACTGGAAAAACAGGAAGAAATACAAAAAACTGAAAGGAACTGAAAGTTGAGAGTTTCAAGATACCGTGTTGCCCCTTCTTTTGTGATGGCTATTTAGTTGTGACATGCTTCTTTCTCTTTTTTAAAAAAATTTTCAAGTAATCAAAATAATCAATATCTTTACCCATCATTTTTAGGTTATGCCCTACTTTCAAGCCTCATAACACACACAATTTTATTATTCTAAATCATGTTCCTTTACAACCCATCAAGTCCCGTCAAGTCCCCCACTATGCATGGCTTAATGCCCAAAGAAATACATCGTACTCCCTAAGACAAACAAGTAAATATTCTCCTCCATTCCGAAGTAGAAGACAGAGTTACCATAGTGCAACTTCTTATTTTGGGAATAAAAACATGAAACATCTATTTTGGTACTTTGTCTATGTTTTACGACTATTTAGTCTTTGTTTTTTGGGTTGGAAAAATTAATTTCTAACTTTTTCCAACTTCTTCAAGTTTTTCCAACTTCTTCCAGTTTCTTCCAACAATGACTTAAAAAAGTATTTATATATATTATATATTCAAATTTATAACATACTACTTCAAACACAAAGAAAGATGAATTTTATTTATCCAGAATTAGAGTTTTCTTACATATGTAATTGGGTAATTATTTAGTTGAGTGACTTTTTAATACTTAAATGTTTCCAACATTTTCCAACTCCTTCCAATTTCTTCCAACTTCTTCTAGTTTTTTCCAGCATCCAACTCTGAAATTTCAACCCAAAAAACATAGCCTTAGGGTGATTTCTTTTAATTTTTATCCATTCTCTTATCTTTTATCCAGACATTAGATTGTGTGATCGCGATGTAATAATTTACATTTGGGGTACACTTTTTGGTATACCTCTAGCATTTTTCATATTTTTATCTACTTTCAGAATTTTATGGTAGAAAAACGGTTGTGTATACTTGAGGTTCATGTTTCGGTGTATACCTAGCATTTTTGAGATATTATAGAAAAGTTAGGGGACATTAGATTAATATTTTGATAATCAATGCGANTGTGGTTATTAAGGGAATTTTATATTTTAAAATTTTCCAATTTAATGAATACAACTCGAAAAAGAAAGTGAAAACATAATTTAGTTTTTATAAGAATAAGGTTTTTTTAATTTTTACTACTGATTTTTAGTGTAAAAAACATATCTTATATTATTTTAAAACAAGTTTTGAATGACATACATAATTATCTTGCACTTTTTTCAAAAGTGGTATATCTACATTAAATTTTTTACATTATTCATAATGTTATTAAATAAAACTCTAAAAATGTAGTTAAAAATTCAAAATAAAATATTCTAAGAGGTTTTATATATGTATTTTCTGATTTTATTGAAAATTGTAAGTTCTAGTATAATTTTTTTATTCTAAAGATAAATCTCATAATCCGTTACCTCGCGCGACTCGAACCTGATGATGACCCTTGGTCAAAACCATGTAATTCTCAACCTGGACTAGAGCTTACCCAAACATGATGTAACCCGAATTCAACCCTATGTGACTAAACTCAAACTCGATCTGATTGTATGTTTTGTCAACTCTATGTGTAACCGTTGACTATGAAATTTCCACACACAACATAGTGTTTTAACGAAATAATTTCACACGTAACACAAATAGAATGTTGTTGGAAATTGTGTTGTAGCTCAATTGCCAGACTCACAGAACGCTACAACACATTTTCTAACACCAGTGTAGACACACACACCAAAAGCAAGTAAAGACACAGAGATTTGTTTACGCAGTTCGGAGCTGACTCTCCTACGTCTATGAGGCCCACATCCGTGTAATAGCCTTTCCACTAGATCAACATAAGAATTACACAATCAATCTCAAACAATCCTTCTACTGAATTGACTTGTCTACTTACGTGATTAGACACCAAACTCGGTTTGTGTCACTTCAGGCCTATTACACCTTCTCGTTGTTCTGCAATAAGGATGCGTCTTTGACCTTTGCTTAGCCACCTAAGTTTCACCTGCTGAACAACCCTTAGAGAAGATCCATGGTTGATCCTCTCATACAGACCTCACAAATGCATACAAGATATGCTCTCTTCTCTCACTCTTCTCTCTGATGTATGAATAGATAATCACAGAGTCTCTTCTATTCTATTAGCACCGTATCTCTCTATTTCACGCACCGTGCCATTATCTCGAATGCCTTATTTATACATATCCTTCTATAGGCTGCAACCCTAACCATCCACGCACAAAACTCCTTCGTAAGCGTGCTTAGATCCATACAGTCCTGGGCCAGTAGGAGTCCTTGATCGTGCAAAGACTTGAAAGTAAAGAAGTCCTGCACTGAGCGGATGCTTGAGAATATGAACAATACCTCCGTAGCATCCTAGTTACTGCAAGCTTGCGTGTAGGATGACCAGTTTTACTACAATAAGGACACCTACACCTATTTTACGCTAGTGGTTGTGTGTTGTCAAAAATAATGCCAACTCATACAAGTCATAGCACACATATTATAGAACTAACAATCTCCCCCTTTGGAAATTTTTGACAAACACAATCACCTGACACTCAGCCGGTTCCGAACCTCTTCTCCTCCTTGTGGAAAAAAATGCCAAATGCAAAATATATTACTGGAACTGGAGAAGAGTAACATTTAGATAACTAGGTGCAAGAGTGTGTACAACAGATTAAACAAGTGATAAAGTGGTCATCCTACTTGTGCAAATGCCAGAGTAAGCAAGGAGACCAAACAAGTGTACAGATTAGCCAAAAAATCATTCTGAAGAGGGTACTCATAGCTTTCTTCAGCCCAAAAACAATCTATAACATAAAAATCAAGTAAAAAACCATGCAGTTTTAGCAAAATAAGAGAAACAGAATCCATCTTCAGAAAAACCAGAGCATAACATCAGGACAGATCAATCCCAAAAGCGAAGAGTTTCTCAAAACAAATTGGAGTTTTTCAGACAGAGGGATTTAGGATTATGCATCAGCTTCATCAGACCTATGCAACTCTGCTTCAAAGTCAGACTCTTCCTCTCCTGAGCTTGTCTCTTCATCCTGATCCTCCTCTTCTTCTTCATCCTCCCTTGAGTTGTATCATCTTCTTGCACACATTGTTTGGACTTCTCCCTCTAAGCTTGTGCACCAACATCTTGGGTTGCATCCAGTGAGGAAAGGATAATGGGCAATTTCTTCTTTTTGACTTCAGCTTCCTTAATCATCTCCTTAAGGGAAATCTAATTGAAGAAATGTTGGGGCTGCCTTCTGATCCTCAACTGTTACCATGTCATTGTGGTGTCTCTCTTCAAAGTCCCTCAAGTCAACCTGTAGCAGTGGAGGAGGAGTGATAAGCCGTTTTTGAATTATTTCTTTTTATTCTTTTTTAGGCATTTTTATTATTTTTAGAGTTTAATTTTTAGTTGTTTTGTTTAGTTTTATTTTAATTCTTATATTTTAATTCTTTTTAATTTTAAAATAGTAGTTTTTAATCATTTTTTTACATTCTATTATTTGTATTTTATTTTTCCCTAATCCAAATTATCAGATATCTTATTTTTTGGAGAAAAATGTAGCAAAAGGCTAAAATGAAGATCAAGTTTGAAAGGAAGAGATTGATTTTGGGCGGGAGCCCAAACCCAACATTAAAGAATTAGCCCATCACAACTTTCTCCCAAATTTGATTTCATGTTTACCCACACAGAAAAAAAAGAACGGAGAAGAAACCGTCGACTTCTTCTTTGCGTAAAACAGGAGACGGTCTTCTTCAAAGCACCAACGTTTCTCCATTAATTTCACTCAATTAAAGCTCGGAAGGCTCCAAACGGAAAAATCTCCTTCGGATATAAATTAGAGCAACATTGACTCAAAGGAAGGGGGCAAACAGCGGAGACAACTACAAGAAAGCCGCGGCCTAGCGGCGGAGGCGGACGGCCTGGAGACGCAAACCGGCCGTCGCAGCAGTTCCGGCGAGCGGTGGGTAGCCTCCATCACAGTTCCAATTCTTCATTTTCTTCTTCCAATTGGTAACCCTTATTTGTCAATTTTTACTTTATTTCTTCAATTCTATGTAAAAGTGTTGTTTTTAATTTAATTTTACATTTTTTTAATTATTTGTTAGTTTGTTTCAAAAATTCCAAAATATGGTTGGTGTTCTTCTTTTTGGGTTTTTTAATGTTTATATTAAATCCCTTATGAATGAAAATTGATTCAAACTAGTTTTTCTTCAATTATTGAACAAGTTGTTGAACTGGTTGAATTACATAATTCAATTTCATAAGTAGGTTGATATGTCGAATTCGGTTTTTGTTGAAGCTATTTTAGCTCCATATGGTAGTTAAATGAACTCTGGATTCATACGTGATTCTTGTTGTGATTTGTGTTTGTTGATTTTAAGAATTTTGGACTTCTTAGCCCCATAAGATTGTTCATTTTTCTTAGAATTCGTTATTGAGTGATTTAGTTTTGTTTTCGTATGTTTCTTTGTTATTTTTCATTAATTTGAGGTTGTTTAAGCTCAAAAACAATTCACAATTTATTGAAAATATGTTGTGTTCACCTACGTGAATAGAAAAAAAATCATTAGTTTGAGAAGTTCATGGAAATCTGTGAATTGTGCTCTTCATTAGGAGAAAAAGTTTATTAAAATGCATAAGGTATTGGCGGTTTGTGAATAGATTATGCATGAGAGTTAGAATGAAAAAAATCGCTCTTTTATAAACTTTTTCTATTGTGTAAGTATATTTTCGTGCTTGATTGTGATACGAACTCGTATCGGATATGGAAGACTTAGAGCGTCTTCAAGCTCCTGAGAATATGGGACGAGGAAGAAGAAGAAGAATTGAGGCGGAGGAGAGAATCGGCGAACCGAGGGAGGAAGGGGATTAGGGTTTGATTTGTTTATTGATTGATTTTCTAAATGAGGTTACATCTCTATATATAGGGAAGAAGGAAACCCTAACGCTAACCTGACGGTTCAATAAAAGCGACGAGGGAAAGAACCGTAAAGAAACTTCGAAGGAGCTTATAATTCCGCTCACCTAATAAAATCTACATTACAATAATAATAATAATAATAATAATAATAATAATAATAATACTATTAAATATCATACTCTACTATCCAAATGATACGACCTAATAATAATACTATAAAATAACCTACTCTACTATCCATAACAGATTGGTGAGTTGTGGTTCTTGATTTTGTCTCATTATGAAATTCTTGAATTATATGACTCCGGGCCGTGTGGAGAGTTGAGAATCCTCCATATTGTGGTTAAGGAAATGAATCAACTCGGCCTTTGATTGATTTTTTCTATTCTTAAGTGCATAAATTATGTAATATATTGTCTACGTGCCTATTATACGTGTAATGTTCGATTTGTGTTTGTTCCCTTTTTCATTTTGTTTCGGGTTCTTGGCAGTGTTTTTTGGGTTACCGTAGTTGAAGGAGTTGATTATCTTTAGAGCTTGTTTTCCCTCATTTTATCAAAAAACTAAAAAAATAAGAAAAATATAAAAACAAAAAAATATTTACTTTTTATCCAACACCCCCCCTTGTTATATAAGTTCTTTATACTATATTCTTACTATATTTTTAGTAAGTGTTTAGTGTTTTAAGTTATATTTTAAGTTCTTTATTTATATAAGTTATATTTATAAGTTTTTATATTTATTTAGTTATAAGTTTTATACGTCTTATCATATATGTAGTAGTTAATTTTTTTTAGTGACAACGTGTTTGCATGCTTAATTGGTTTTAAAAAAATACAAATTTTTTCCGTGGGATCGACCCTTACTTGCCCTAGTTATAGTTTTTATTTGATTATATATTGGGGGTTAGCTAAGGATATTTTATAAATTTTTAATTTGTTTTGGACCGCACGACAAGTCCTCGATAAATTTTGGCGCCGTTGCCGGGGAAAGTATTGTATGAATCAGTTTAGTATGTGTTTTTGTTCTTTGTTCGTATGAAAGCATGTTGTAGAAATAACCTCTTTTCTCTTTTCCACACTATTTTGCTGGTTAAATTCATAGAATTGAGGTTTCGTTGTGCTTGAAAAAACTAGATTCAGCATGTTTGAGTTGTCTTTAATGCTGAATTTTTGCTCCACTCGCTATTTTCATGACACTTTTGGCCAATTTTTCATAAAAATTGCTTTTTGAAGCTACTTTTTTGCACATTTACTTGCTGATTCCTTTTTTATCACTTATGCATGCTAGATTTGAGTCACATGGGTGTTGCTTGTTTCATATATTTTATATATGCAACGTGCATGAGCAGATTATTTTGCATTTAGTGCTGTTTTTGTGTGCTCAAGTGCTTGAATTTGCTACTTCCTTACTTAAATGTGCATTTGGATTGAAGTAAGCATATATGTTTTAGCTGATTTTGATTGCATTAGGTGCTGCAAAGTGTTATTTGAAGTTTTTTAAGAGAAAAATCTGCACTTTTTGGTTGATTTGCAAGCTGAATTCATGTTCCTGAAAGTGCATAGTTGCTTAAAATTTTCTTTTAGAACAAAATCTAATGCTATAACATGATGTCAAAGGTCATATTCCTTAGTATTTGATGCTACATTTGCTTAAAAATCTGATTTATACATGCTGTTTTTTTAAAGAAACTGCACTTTCAGCTTTGTTTTCATGCTGTTTTTGTCCTCCAATAGGGCTGATTTGCTTAAATATGAACTATAATTGATATATCTTACTTGGGGATAATATTTTGAAGCATGCCATGATGTTTTCTTGCTGATTTTAATGTTTTAGGAGCTGAATTTTAGAAAAACCTAATCTAAAGTGCTGTTTTTTTTTTTAAAACTGCATTCTTTTCTTGATGTGCATTGATTTTTGAGTTCCATAGATGCTTATGTGATCAAACATGAACTCTAATTAATAAAATATGCATAGGAACTAATTTTAAAAGCATATAGCATGACTTTTTAAGTTGATTCTAAGTTACAACATGTAATATATGCTTATTTTGGATGAACATTGAGCTGTTTTTTTGAAAATTCAGATGTATGCTTACCATTTTTTTTCCAGAAATCTGCGTTTTTAGTGGTTTGCATGTTGAATTTGTATTCTCTGAATGCTTCTACACCTAAAACATGAACCTTTCTTGCTAAATTTTGTTTAAGAACTGATTTTAGAAGCTCATGGCATATTTTTCAAAGTTGGTTTATGACACTTATATGCTGAATAATGGTTCATCCAAATTGAAGTGAGAATTTGATTTTGTGCCTTAATTGACCTTTTGGTGACAATATTTGAGTGAAAGTGGAAACAAAAGCAAAATTCTTAATTTTACTCTTTTTTTGTGTTTTAAACAAGTGAAATTTGCACTAAATAGGACTAAAACATAATCACTTTCCTAATGTTTTCCTAATGTAGGACTTAAACTTTTTTATTCCCTAAATATGACTTATTAATGACCTAGTGGAAGGAATAATGTCCAGTAATGATAGATATTTAATTGAATAATGACTACTTGATAATGACCAAATGTCCTACATTGGGAAATAAAAACATATGGTCATATATTGAGAAAGTCATTATGTTTTAGTCCTATTTAGGTAAATTTCTCTTTAAACAAACACACTTATCTTACTACTTAATGGTTTAAGAGAATATATTTGTTTGTAAGCAGTAAGCTTTGTCTAGCCAAAACGTGAAATCGGGCGGCCTATGGGAGGCAACCCACTTTTTTTTTTTAGTTTTTTTTCATTTTTTTAAAAGAGTTCTTTTTACTTCTAACTTCTAGTAATTGTTGTACTTTTTTTTTCTCTCTTATAGTTGTTGTTCGCATTTTTTTCTTTTTTCTATTTTTTTAACATGACCCACTTACTTTTATAACATTCTTTTAAAATTTTTCTTTGAATTTCTTATGCTTACTTTTAACTTTAACTTGTTGTTGTACTTATTTTTTCCCTTGTGATCGTTAATTTGATTTTCTTTTTCTTTCTTTTAATAACCAGCTTACTTTTCTTACTTTTTTTTCTAGTAGTACTTGTAATTATAGGATTAGTTTTTTTCCTTTATCTATTTCATTTAGTCTTTGAAAAATGAAAAAAAAGTATAAAATCAAAACAAAAAAAGTTATCTTGATGAGCTTAACTTTATTTTTTTTTACTTCGTTTATGCTCCTAACCATATCTTTAAGTGAGAATGCAAGATTTGTTAAGTTTTAGGTTGGAGCATCTCTGTTTGGAGTAAAAATCTGCACAGTTGAGTGCAAATCTGTTTTGAAACAACAATACTTGGTGCCCGGGTATTGGTACTCAGGCTGAGAAACAATTTTAAAAACTAGAATTAGATAAGACTAAATCAGCTCAAATTAGACATTAATAAAATCAATTGAGATCCAAGACGTAACAAGCTCTTACTCACCGAATAAATTAAAATAAAAAAAATAAAATTAGCATAGATACGACCTTATTGAAACCAGAACGAGTTCCCTATACGATATCTTAAAACAGGGTTTCTAATATATTCATTTGTTCTAAATTATTTATCTTTGCCATTTTTATATATTTGGTGATTATTTCATTGTAAGTGATCTGGAAGGACAACTCTTTTTGAAATATTGGAATAATAAAATTACTCATTGATTTCTGGAGTACATGGTTGGGTATATATATAAGAGAGACCCTTAACACAATTAGAAATAAAGAATGAAAACTAACTAAAACTAGGAGTGAGCAATTTAATCGAACCGACCGATTAACCGATACACTTTAACCGAACCGACCGTAATTTTAAATTCGGTTTCGGTTTTAATCTCAAAAATATTCGGTTAATTCGGTTATCGGTTTCGGTTTTGGGCAATGTTAACCGAAACCGACCGAATAACCGAGCCCATAATATGTGTATTAAATATATGTAAGCCCAGACCAAATCTTTTAGTTATAGCCCACATAAAAAAACCCAATTCCCAGCCCTTCTCCTTACCCAATTCCCAACCCGTCTCCCAAGTCGGCAGAAAGTCCCAAATCCCAACCCTGTCTCGTTCTCGTCTTCTCGGTCCTCACCAATCGACAATCACCATCTCACATTCTCCAGTTCCAGTTCCTGCGTTCTCAAGCCGACGCCATTCACGCCAAGATCTTGCAATCATCATCCCCGTTCCGGCGTCACCAATCGGCAATTACCAGGTTTGTGCATCTCCGTTCTGGCGTCACCATCTCCGTTTTTTCTTATTCTTTTCGTCCCAATGATTTTTTTCTTCTGATTGTCAAATAAAGATTGTTCTTTACTTTTTAGCACATTAAATCAATGCCACATACTTCAAGTTATCCCAGCAATTACACAGAGTATATTTTCTTTGCTTTATTTTTAAAACTCAAGTTAAAAATTCACCCTAAGATTTGTTTTCCTCGTTTCATTCTGGAATAACAAACAACTGCACATATTTCAAAATTTTTATTTACTTCATTTTAAATCATATTTAAAAACAATATTAATTTCAAATTTATTTATTAACAGTTTACATGTTTAATGTAATAGCTCGTTGCGGCATCGGTTTTGTTTAACTAGATTTTTTTGTTTAACTAATTTTTTGTTTTTTTCATTATTCATGATTAGATCAAAATTCAAGAGCAAAGTCAATGAAGTCAATAGCTTCCCATGATTCACAATGTGAAGAACAAAATGAAACCCAAAATGCATCAATTACTGAAGAAAGTAGGGCAAAGTCCTCATGTTCTAGACCTAAGAGAATGGAAAGGAGCGCACCTTCAACAAGATCTGAGGTTTGGGATCATTTTACTAAATTTACCATTACTAAAGATGATGTTATACTCCATAAAGCTAGATGTGATCATTGTGGTAGAGAATTTGCTGCAAATACTAAAAGTAATGGTACAAGCTCTTTGAAAAACCATTTAAAAAATTGTGTGAGCTTGCCTCGTGAGAAAGGGGATGATGATCAAATTGAGTTAATATGCGGAACCGTTGATGGGGAGGGAAATGTGCCAATAACTTTTGGAAAGTATAGCGCAGACACACTTAAGAAGGGTATAGCAGAAATGATTATCATCGATGAACTTCCATTTAAATTTGTTGAGGAAAGGGTTTTAAAAAGTGCATATCCATTGCTGCTCCAAGATTTAAAATGCCTTCTCGATGGGTAGTTGCTAGAGATTGTTATGGAATTTACTTAGAAGAACGAGCTAAAATAAAGAAGTTGTTTCAAGGTGCCAAAGTGTCACTTACCACTGATTGTTGGACGTCTTTGCAAAATGTCAAATATATTTGTCTAAAAGCTCACTTTATTGACGAAAATTGGAAATTAAATAAGAGGATAATCAACTTTTGTCCAATTGATTAGTATGGGAACATCATTGCTTAAAGGAAAATACTTTCACATGAGATGTGTGGCTCATATTGTTAACCTCATTGTTAGTGATGGCATGAAGACAATGAATAGCTCCATTTATAAGATAAGAAGTGCTGTTAAATATGTTAGACAATCACCTGCCAGAATGCATAAGTTCAAAGAATGTGTTGCATTTTCAAAGATTGAGTCTAAATCTTTGTTGAGCTTAGACGCGTGTACAAGGTGGAACGCAACATGTTTGATATTACATTTTGCTCAGAAGTTTGAGAAGGCATTTGACAGGTTTGAGGATGTCGAGAGTAATTACCTAACTGCTCTCATTGAAGAAAAATGGATTCCTTCTCATGATGATTGGGAAATTGGTAAGAACTTAAGCATATTTTTTGGAGCATTTTTATAATCTCACAAAAAGAGTTTCTAGTTCCTTGTATGTCACATCTAATGTTTATTTGGAAGAAATATGTGATGTATATTGTACTTTGAATGCTTGGGCGAGGAGCGAAGATGAACAATTTAAAGATATGTCTTTAAAGATGCTTGATAAATATCACAAGTATTGGGGTGATTTGAAAAGATGAATATGTTGTTATACATTGCTGCTGTTCTTGATCCTCGATACAAGTTTGATTATGTGGAGTTTTGCTTCAAGAAAATGTATTCGGAAGAAGTTGCAAAAACATTGCTTGAAAAGGTCAAAAGTACAATAGACGAATTATTTGTGGAGTACAAAAAATGGCAGACGCTCTTGGAAACACTTCTAGTGCACAAACTACTTTAACCCCACAAAGTAGTTTGAACACTTTAAGTGCTATTGTTGATTCTAACACAATCAGTGAAACCAGTACCAAGAATGAATTTAGGAAATATAAGAGTTCGTCTGTTCGTGGAGGGCAAAAATCAGATTTGGACAAGTACATCACCGATGAGTTTGATGAGGATGTAGATAGTTTTGATATTCTAGGATGGTGGAAAAAGAATTGCCACAGGTTTCCAATAATGGCTAATATTGCTCGTGATGTTTTAGCGGTTCTGGTGTCAACTGTTGCTTCTGAATCTGCTTTCAGTACAGGTGGTCGTGTCCTTAACTCGTACAGGAGTTCTTTAACTCCAAAAATTGTCCAAGCTCTTATTTGCCCTCAAGATTGGTAACGACAAGGAGCATATTGTAGCATTCACGAGTTTGAAAGTGAAGTTTCTGAATTGGACAAATTAGATGAAGGTGTGTATAACTACATATGTTGCTATTATATCATTTAAAATGTATTTGATTTTTCAATATTTTTTATTTAGCATTCATAACTATTTTTTTAAATTGTCTATTTGTTTTGTTCTTTTAGATTTGTCCAAACTCAAGTTGGATCTCGTTATTGATGCTTAGAGATGTGAAGACATTGAGATCTTGATTTTGGTAATCCGGTAATGTTTTGGTAATCCCGTTATTTTATTAATTATAATTGTCATACTTTTCAATTTCAGTGGATTGTATGTTAAGAGTTTTTTCTTTAGAAGTACAGATTGATGGTGATGGGTGACATCCAGTTCTGACGGAATTGAGCATCGAAGTCATGGGAGAATTTTCAGTTTATTACTCCCTCCGTCCCCCTAAGATCTTCTCATTTTGATTTTTTACGGTTTTTAAGGAGAGTTGAAAAAAGGTGGAAATTTACGAAAATACCCTTAATGAAAATGGGTGGGGTGCATTAAATAAAGTGGAAAAGGTGTAATAAACAAAGTAAGTGTGGGTAGTTGTGGTATTTTAAATGTTAAAAAAAGTAATGAGAAGATCTATGTGAGACAAATAAAAAAGGCTAATGGGAAGATCTATGGGGACGTAGGGAGTATTATTTTGAACTTTTTAAAGCTCTACTTGGATTGTTATCAATATTATTGTTGGCTTTTATTACTCATTTTGGGGCTCTACTTTTGTTTGTTTAAATATTTTGTTTGACCCCTGAGAGATAATATGTTTTTGTCATTTTGGAGCTGTTATAATATGTGTTTGCTATTACTTTCCTTTAAAAAATTTGAGAAATATTTCAATATTTGCAGTAGGCACTAGGTTTTTTGATTGAAAATTTCGGTTTTTTCAAACCAACCGAACTCGATCGGTTTTTACTCGATTCGGTTTGTTCGGTTCTCGCTTTGATTCAGTTCGGTTTGGTTGGTTTTTATGGGTAGTTTTAATTTTCGATTTTTTCGGTTTTGGGCCGAAACTGACCGAACCGAACCGATGCTCACCCCTAACTAAAACACAATATCTATCATAAATCCTTTAATAGAAAGCTGACTAAAATAAAAAGACTACTATAACTAATACTACCATAATTATCATTATTATTATTGTCTAACATCTCCCCCTTACGCTAAAATATTCCTGAAGCAAGAGGAATCTAACGTTCGTTGGTGGCTGCTAACATTGAAAAAGAAGAGAGAAGTCTGATGTGCACCGGTTGCTGCTGATGTCAAAGAAGAAGAATAGAATGTTGCCGCACACACCTTCTTTGATCTGATGCCGCACACACCTTCTTAATAACAGTATATTTGTGTGCTATGTGTCTCAACTGTCTGTGAGATGTCTCGCATGTTATATAGATGCACATCGCAGAACCCTAGTGGAGTAAAACTGGAGTCCTTGACGTATACTGTGCAGATATGAGTTCATCTGCTGGAAGGAGTCTACAACCCATGGATTTCACCCGTAAGAGCGATTGTTTGTTTATGCACGTCACTTGGTAGATGAACTCCCACACACCCAGACTTCTAATTCCACAGGGACATCACTAACACTTGGACTACTATGGATAGGTGATGACTGACAGGATGCTACATCTATATTCACCAAAACGGCTAACCTAGTAGAAAGTACTACAAAAAGTGGTTTGTCAAAAAATGATGCCAACCGAAGTTATAACATCAACATCGCATGGGAACTAACAATTGAATCATAGATTAGACGAACCTTCTTTGTGATCTCGCTAGTTGACATGTGGACATGATAGTAGAAGTCAAGCTCTCCCCCTCAAGTCGAATAATATGATGAAGAGGAGATCGACACACAACAACATACGATGGAAACAAAGAGAGGAGTGACAGTGGGGGCAACACCGTGCATCGTTGGTGATTGGAAAAAGAGACAGATCGGAAGCCTAGCATTTAAAATATGTCAGGGAGTTGGCTCCGGCACCATGTAGGAAATAAAGGTAGCAAACCAAACCGATTGATTATTGATAATCTCAAAGTATAAATACAAGCACAGTCAAAACTAATTACATCGGCCAGATTACATTGAGCCGAGCCCATGAACCACAATAAAAGAACTAAAAACAATTATATGCACTAACAGAAAACATATACTTCATGCATAAACAAAAGTTATTGAGATATCATAATTGTAACAAAAACATCCATTTTAAAACAAAGGAAATAATATTATTCATTTTATTGCATAAACTTATAACTCACAATGTCACATTTGGTTTAAAACTCCATAAAGAAAACAAACTGAAACATCTTAAATTAATTAAAACATTACATAGCAAAGCTGATCGATCAAATTTGGTAATGTGGAGTAAGCTCATCAATCATGCAAATATTCCATAATTATCTCATTGGCAATCAAACGGTATGCCGCTTCCGTCAAATGAATCCCGTCCCAGCTAACATACTTTGAAGGGTCGCCACACACCGTTGATCCTTTCACACCACATGGAACTGAGGCGTTATAGTTATATGGACCCTTTCCTCCGCAGCATGCAATTGTCGCCTTTTCAAATCCTGTCACACACCACCGTACCAAAAAGTTTTTCTCGTTTCGATTAAAAAATCACTTTTACCCTTACTAATTCTTAACCTACCTATCAAATTCTACTCTTTCATCATCACATCCAAAAACATTTCTGAAAACTCAACACCAAAATACATTCCCCTTAAATTTCTTTAAAAAAAATCTAGAAACAGGGTTACCAAATTTAGCAGGATCAGTGTAGAATTTCATTGCGGCATTGAAGTAATCGGCGTAGATAATTTTGACGCGTGAATCGGCATGGAGTCGGCAAAGGCGGTTGAGTTCTTCCTGGAGTTGGGTATTATGTTGTTGAGCGAAGTTGTTTAGCCAGCTGAGGCAACCAGTTTTGGGGTCATAATCGCTTTTATTACGACTTTGGAATTTGGTGAGGTATGCAGCCGAGCACCCAATGGGCAGATTCCCTGGAACCACCACTGTTTTAGCTCCTTGACTTATTAATTTCTGCATCGGACATGAGAGATTGCCACATTATTTGCAAAGTTATTTAATGGTGAGTAAGTTAAGAAACAAGAAATGTAATTATTCGACAAATGGAAGATGGAATTATAAACAAATACTTGATCCTTCCCAAAATTAACTTCATCTTCATATTTTTAAATAAAGGAGCGTTCGGGTGACATTAGTCGTCCCTCGTATCATCTTATGACATGGGTCTCGATGGGAGCACCTACGGTGCATCGTTTGAAAAATTTTCTCAGCAAAACATATATATACTCACCTCAATAGCAGAGCTTATGGCTTTGATAACACACGGCACTAACTTTTCAACGTCTTCCTTGGACTGGCCATCCAGGAAGGGGCCATTGTAGTCATTTCCTCCTATTTCTCCCATTAGAATTAGAGAGTTCCCAATATATACTTCGCAACCTATTTTAAGCATGGTACACATAATTTCGTTACATATAAAATTAACAACGATGCTAGGGATACCCAAAAAAGTGTACTCCAAAGACTGAATGTACCGACATTTTAATTGTTCACACTAGCCAGGGCCGATCCCAAAAAATCAAAAAATAAAATTGACCCGGTCCTAAATTTACATTTTGGGCCCTATTTTATTTTTTAGAATACTTTTCCTTTAAAATTATTAACAAATTTAAAAATATGGGACCCTAAAATTTTTGGGGCCCTGTGCGCTTGGCTATTTCGCACACCCTCAGGGTCACCCATGACATTAGCACAAGTATATGAAAAATAGGAAATTAAAGTAGAGAGTTCCTAATATATAATCCCTCCGTCCCAGAAAACCTTTCTCTTTTCTTTTTTCATCCGTCCCAAAAAATACTTCTCATTTCTTTTAAAAAGTCACTTTTATCCCTTACTTTTTCATACCCTACTTATCACATCATACTTTTTTACTAATAATCTATCCATCAAATCATACTTTTACTCATCACATCAAAGGACATTTTTGGAAATTCAATACCAAAATACACTCCTCTTAAATCTCTCTCCAAAACCAAAACTCCCATGTTTTTCAGGACGGAGGGAGTACTTTGCAACCTATATGAAAAAAAGCAATGCCTATATTATTACCCAATAAGTAACGAATATTTGAAAAAAGTGATAAAATTTAACCTATGAATAATACTCCCTTCATTTTGTAAAATTTTTCTGGTTTTGACTTTGGGGAAGGAAAGATATAGAAGTTTGACCAAAGCGAAACGACGATAATTGAAACAAGTTGGGCTCGAGAAATATCAAAACGGGTAGAGCGTAGAAGGTAGTTGAGGTACGTTCGGTTAGATTTAAGAAAAGTAAGGGCAATTGTGTCCATTTAGACAAAATTGAAACGTTTTATGGAACGGATAAAAAGTGAAAGCTGAAATGTTTTGAGAGACGGAGGAAATATACATGTAATTTAATTTGAGACGTAGAGAGTAACAAATAATTTTAGCGTGTTACTAGTAAAAATAAAATTTGCTAAAGCGCATTATAAAAAAAACTGCTGATAGACGACAGGTGTACAAGAATATTTTAAGATAATTAAAAATGATGTTTTAAGATGTTAAAAGATTAGCATTAATAATTACTCGTATCAAAGATTACAAATTGATCATAGGTAATCATGAAAAGATGGGGGATAAATGTAAAATGAAAAAATCGCCTAAATAGGATTGGAGTAACATATACTCCATCCGTTCCACAAAACTCTTCTTTTTTCGTTTTTTTTATTTCCACAAAACACTTCCACTTTTTATTAAAAAACCACTTTTACCCATATTTTTTCATACCCTACCTATCACATCTTACTTTTTCCATCACATCAGGGGTAAAATTGAAAAGTCAACCAAAATTACACTTTCCTTATTTTTCTCCAAAGTAAAAAACGGAAGGGTTTTGTGGAACGAAGAGAGTAGCATTTATTTTCAAAATAGAAATTTGTAGTGCAACATTATAGCATTGTGTAATAATATTTCACTGTACTTTTTCGTATTACATATATACATTATTGGCATTATAATTCATGTTTTGGGAATAATAAATATTGAGATCTTATTTTTGTAAACATTTCTCCATATTTTATTTTTAGTTTTGCCTTTTTTCCTAAAATGAAAAGAAAGTCATGGTATACTTTTTTAACAGAAAATTTAATTTCTAAAACATCGATTATTATAAAGTAATCTTTTAAATATATCAATAAAATGTCAACTTTTAGAGGCACTGGCATTACTTTTTTTCCTTTTTAAAATGGCGTATATAAAGATGTGTGTTTTTGGCATCTTTAGCAAACAATTTTGACCATAAACAACATTTTCTACTATTGTTTTTTGTTAACTGAGAACTTTTTTTTTGTTAATTGAGAAGTGTAATACCGGGGTGCATCTTTGCCCCCTTTTTTTTACCCAGTACTTTTTTAGGCAAATTCTTTAATTTGGTGGTTTTAGTTGGAGGTTGATTTTATGGACTTTAATACTCTCTCTTTTTTACAAAATAATTCTGCCTTAATTTTTCGCCTACCTCATAAAGCACCTCTATTCCACCAAAAATACCTAAAATTTTCTCAAAACAACTTATATCCGCAATAACCTACGAAATGTGTTAGAGTGCATCCCACATCGAAAGTTCAAGAGTAAAATAATCGGTATATAAGCTCTTGAGTTGAACTAAGTAATCGATTGGATTCAATCTTTTAATGTGGTTCAGCCTAAGTGTCTTATAACCCAATCCAGTAATCTCTACCCAATCCTAAAATTCTATCATGGTATCAGAACAGGTTTTGGCCTACCTCGTTTGTCAAGGTGTCCGTCTAGACGTTCATTCCTAGCGGCCCGTTTGTCTTTAACCCAGTTGTCTGTATGAAGTATGTACTCAACGGACTGTGGTCTGTTTAACATGATTGCTCGTATGGAAGTCCATACCCAGCGGCTCGTGGCCCTTTAGGTGTTGGCACTCAAAAAAAAGTCAAGGGAATGGGAGTTCATTTGCAATGGTCAACCGGTTAGATTCAAAATGGCCCGATTGTCCACTTAAGGGGGAGTGTTAGAGTACATCCCACATCGGAAGTTTAAGAGTAAAACAATCGGTATGTAAGATTTTGAGTTGAACTAAGTGATCGATTGGATTCAATCTTTTAATGTGGTTCAACCTAAGTGTCTTATACCCCAATCCAGTAATTTCTACCCAATCCTAAAATTCTATCAGAAGTGTATTTTGGACATTTTAATTAGGGTACAAGTGTTTTGAGGGATGCGCAAAACTTTAAAATAAAAGTGTTTTGTGAAACAGAGAGAATACGTAAAATGATACAAAGTAATACTCCCTCCGTCCCAAAAAGATTTACTCGTTTCAAAAAAATTGCGTCCCACAATTTCTTACCCATTTCTATTAAAAAATCACTTTTACCCCTTACTTTTTCAAACCCTACTTATCACATCATACATTTTTCCTAATAATATACACACATCACATCACACTTTTATCCATAACATCAAGAGTATTTTTGGAAAGTCAACACATAATTATCCCTTCCTTAATTTCTAGTTTAGTCAAAACGTACCCATCTTTGTGGGACGGAGGGAGTATGTATTACATATTTTTAAAATAAAGAAATCCAATTGTAAGCTCATTAAAATTATGTGAGGTGATCTATATTACATACATAGATCTTAGGATTACAAATTGCTCAAATTCATGTTTAACCTTTTAATTACTCACTATTTAAATTCAATTCATATATCTTTCCTTGTATCTTCTTTTATAGTGGACAAGGAGGGGGTGGGGGACAATGGGGTACACCTTTGGTGTACCCCTAGCATTTTTCTCTTTTATATGGAGTACAATTTATAATATTCCATTAAAACATCATAAACAAAAATAAAAAAAATTAAATATATTTTTAATCCCTATAAAATACTGTACGTAATTTTGTTATCTTTATTGCAATTGGTCTTACCATCAATATGAAGCAAACATATCATTGTTTTATATATATATATATATATATATATATATATATATATATATATATATATATATATATATATATATATATATATATATATATATATATATATATATATATATATATATATATATATATAAGGGTTGGTTCAAGTGAGAATGGTCCTTACTGCAACAATATATCTTATCGTGAGAATGATGCATTTTTATGCCATCACAATGTTTTTTTACATTGTGGTAGTACATTTTCGGCACTGGGAGTAAAGTTCAACTTATTTACAATAATACCACTGCGTTTTTTTTAGATTTTTTCAATTTTTTTGAATTTTTTAAACCCTTAGATCTTACATCTAATGCATGAGATGCATTCTTATTTTTTCATTAGATTACATTCTCACTTGATTAGATTGCATTTTGGAAATCCTTGGAGGACGAATTGTAAAAAAACACAAGGATACTTCTAGCAAGAAAAAATTTATGAAGATCCAAGAAAAAGTCACTCATTTTGTAGGTCATTTTGTAAGGACCAAAAACATATTCTACACTTAACAACAATAGTTTGGGACTCAATAGTGGTGGAGACATTAGCTCGTTGTCCATCATTAAATTAAAAAATTTATGAACAGATACTACATTGTTGTAGACTCAATAACATTCGAAAAAAACATGACAAGAATTTATTTTTTTTACTCTTTGATTTGCTATTTAGGAAGGTTATCAGAGATGCATATATGGATGAGGACTTACTTGATATATTGTTGCATAGAGATGGAAGAAACTTCTTGAACCATTCCAACTGACTTCCCATCGAAAGATATGAAGGGGTGGAGTTCAATGCCGTAGCTCCGGCCACCGCAAAATTCACGCTGCCGCTGAAATTACTGTCCTTCTTCGCCGGGTACGGCTGCAGAAACTGGAGCCCCATGCTTTGAGCTGCATAGACATAATTAATTTTCTTCATCTACTCCTCCGTGTTTATTTATCCCGTTTGACTTTTTTCCAACCAAACTCAATGAATTTAATTTAGATTTAAAGTTCGTCGAGTTTGACTCGAAAAAGTGAAGAACGAACAATGAAGCGAGGGAGTACCTATGAAATCGACGATGAGTCGGCCGTTTGAATAACGACCGGTGGGGCCGCCGGGGAAGTTCATTCCGTACGGAAGCCGGGAGGCTTGTGAACTGGTGAAACTGATTTTGTTTCCGGTATCGGCAAGCGAGTCGCCGAAACTAATGATCGACCCAAACCTCTTCTGTGGGCCCGCACCAAGGGAGCGCCCACTTGGGGCTAGTAATAATAAGCCATATGCAATTGCAATTAACACAAGTTTTTTAGAACAATAAAAAGCATCCATGGCAATTATCTCTTTATGTTTATTTATTTATTTATTTATTTATTTATAGGGAATAGGAAATTTAGGAATTGTAATTTCTTTAACGAGATAATTAATTTTTGCACTCTTAAAATGAGTTTTTGTGCTAGGTATTTATAACCATTCCATGTTACATAGTTCTCGTTAAATATGGAAAACTTTACGACTAATTGAGTAATTGATCTTTTTTTGTTCCCCATGGTTTAAATTTACTTACCTGAGTCTTCCTCCATCCGTTTCAAAAAAGAATTTAATACTCCCTTCGTTCCTAAATAAACTTCTTTTTTTGACTTTTTGAAGATTTAAAGGAGAGATATTTTTGTGTTGACCTTCCAAAAATACCCTTGATATGATGTGTAAAAGTAATATGTGATATGTAGATTATTAGTAAAAAGGTATGATGTGATAGATAGGGTATGAAAAAGTAAGGGGTAAAAGAAGTTTTTTAAGGGAAAAGAGAAGTTTATTTGGGGACAAAGAAAAAACGAAAGAGAAAATTTATTTAGGGACAGAGGGAGTATTTTTTATCAAGGCGTCACAAAAAATTTCCAATTTGTTATAAAACAAGAGAAAAACTACTCAAAGATTATGAATATAAATATGATATGTTTCTGATTTCTTCTCTCTATTGATTCTTCACTCTTTTTCTCGTTCTTAAATGATGATTTGCAGGGATCTTAAGCCTCTTATTTATAGTAGAGAGGCTTAGTGCTAACACTATTACAAATAGTATACATATTATACAAATGACAACTTGATGGTGATGATGGACAATGTGTTCCTGCAACTTATGATGGAGCATGACCTAATTAATATAAATGAACAATTCATATTTTTCTTAACACTCCCCCTTGAATGTTCATTTTTCAATTGATGATGAGTATTTTGTGAGATGGGTATAGTTTAGAAACTCATTCAAATTTTATGTACTACCTCATTAGAAACCTTATCAGGAAAAACTCAGTGGGATAAAAACCTGATCAAGGGAAAAAGAGTACAGTTCATAAAATTCTCCACCTCCGCTTAGCATATTTGACAGAGACGACGCATGCCAATCTTGTGTACGAGTTCTTCAAATTTCTTCGGGGGTAATGCTTTTGTAAATAAATCAGCGGGGTTCTCAATGGACTTGATTTGCTTGATGTCAACCTTTCCATCTTTCTCGAGATCATGTGTTGAGAAGAACTTTGGTGATATATGCTTTGTTCGGTCTCCTTTGATGTAGTCTCCTTTCACTTGAGCAATGCATGCAGTATTGTCTTCATATATAGGAGTCAGATGACTAGTAATTGTTTCTATATCGCACTCGCTCTGGATATGTTGAATCATTGATCGCAACCATACACATTCTCTACCTGTTTCGTAGAGAGCTATCAACTCCGTGTGATTTGATGATGTGGCAGTCAAAGTTTGCTTCATCGATCTCCATGATATTGCGGTATCGCCATAAGTAAACACATATCCTGTTTGAGACTTTTCCTTTTGTGGATCAGACAAATATCCTGCATCAGCATATCCAACAAGAGTGGTCTTAGTACCTTTGCGGTAGAATAAACCAAGGTCGATGGTACCATTGAGATATCGCAAAATATGTTTAATGCCATTCCAATGCCTCCTAATCGGGGTCGAGCTGTGTCTGGCTAATAAGTTTACTGAGAATGCAATATCTGGCTGAGTGTTGTTTGCTAGATACATCAAAGCTCCAATTGCATTCAGGTATGGTATTTCTGGACTAAGTATTTCTTCATCATCTTCACGAGGTCGGAACGGATCATCATGTACATTGAGAGAGCAGACAATCATCGGGGATGTGAGAGGATGTGTTTTATTCATATAAAACCGCTTCAGAACCGTCTTCATGCAATTTGACTGGTGGATGAATATCCCGTCTTTCAAATGGTCAATTTGAAGACCAAGACAAAATTTTGTTCTCCCAAGATCTTTCATCTCAAATTCTTTAATGAGATATTTTGCAGTGTTTTCTATTTCATCAGTAGTTCCAATGATGTTTAAATCATCAACATATACTGCAATTAAGGCAACGAGTCGGGCTTTATATCTCATAATTTCATTTATCTCATTGCGCTTACGCACAAAAACCCATTTGAAACCAACTGGTTTCACGCCTTTTGGCGTAGGAACTATAGGCCCAAAAACACTTCGTTTTTCAAGTGATTTCAATTCTGCCTGAATTGCTTCATTCCATTTTGGCCAATCATGCCTACGTCGACATTCATCAACTGAAGTTGGCTCAATGTCATCATTTTCTGTTCCATTGTAATCCCGTAGAAACGTAATTTATTGAGATCTCATAATTATCAACGTTTCTATCTTCATCTGAATTATTCGTATCTTCAGAGATTGTTAAATCCTCATTTGAAACAAATTTTTCATTGAACCAAGTGGTCTGCCATGCTTTTTGCGTATTGAAGACTCATTTGCAAGAGTTTTTTCATTTTTCTTTAAAGGAATTTCAATTCTGGTAGGAGCATTCATAGCTGGAATATGTGACTTTGTCACTTTCTTTGAATCCGTGAATGCGTCAGGTAATTGATTTGCAACATTTTGTAAATGAATTATCTTTTGCACTTCTTGTTTGCATGCATTTGTTCTTGAATCAAGAAAAGATATTTCTGTTGCATTCCATGTAATCTCTTTCGTACGTGGGTCCTTTTTCTCATTTTCTCCCCCTAAGGCTAGGAATACTGTCTCATCGAAATGACAGTCAACAAACCGAGCTGTGAATAAATCACCAGTCATTGGCTCAAGATATTTTATAATTGAGGGAGAATCAAAGCCAACATAAATTCCTAGCCTTCTTTGAGGACCCATTTTTGTACGATGTGGTGGAGCAATTGGTACATATACGACACATCCAAATATTTTTATGTGAGAAATATTTGGTTTTTTTCCAGTTACCAATTGTAATGGGAAAAAATATGATTCGCAGTAGGCCTTAGCCGAATTAAATTTGCAGCATGCAATACAGCATGTCCCCAAACAGATGCAGGTAAACTGGATTTCATCAATAATGGTCTAGCAATTAATTGCAATCGCTTTATTAAAGACTCAGCAAGACCATTTTGAGTGTGCACATGAGCAACTGGATGCTCCACATCAATCCCAATAGACATGCAATAGTCATTAAATGATAGGAATGTAAATTCTTCTGCATTATCAAGTCGGATTTTCTTTATTGAATAATCCGAAAATTGAGCTCTCAAACGTATGATTTGAGCAAGGAGTTTTGCAAATGCAAAATTTCTTGTAGATAAAAGACTAACATGTGGCCAACGTGTTGATGCGTCGATCAACACCATAAAATAACGAAATGGTCCACATGGTGGGGCAATTGGCCCACAAATATCTTCTTGAATTCTTTCTAAAAAGCAGGAGATTCAACTCTAATTTTTTTTAAAGATGGCCTGACAATCATTTTTTCCAAGAGAGCAGGCAACACATGGAAAATCAATTGATCTTGGAATCCTTATATTTTTCAATGGATGTCCAAGTGAATTTTGAACTATTTTGTGCATCATTACACTGCCAGGATAACCCAAACGGTCATGCCACAAAATGAATGTTTTTTGATCATCTATTTTTTTTATTAGAGACAACATTCACTTCAACGGGACTAATGTGAGTATAATATAGCCCCGAAGAATACGCTGGCATCTTTTCACAAAGAATTTTATTGCCAGATTTGGTTGTCGTTAGACATAAGTATTCCTTTTGATTTTCTGTCATGGTTTCAATATGATAACCATTTTGACGCATATCTTTAAAGCTCAATAAATTCCTTCGGGATTTGCTGGAATATAATGCGTCTTTGATAATTAATTTTGTTCCTTGGGGAAGGATTAAACAAGTCAATCCAGACCCTTCAATGAGCTTTGCAACACCGGAGATTGTATTGCAATAGTTTCCATCAATGTCATTTGAGAAAAATATTCTTTGTTTCTCAAAATGGTGTGCGTTGTGGCACTGTCAATTAGACATTGTTCTTTGCCACTAGAGCCATAAGCAGTTATCTCCATATCTTCTGAGAAGAACAAGGATTCTGAGATTTTTAAGCAAATTCGTGCTGATAACGTGTTATAAAACGAGAGAAAAACTACTCAGAGATTATGAATATAAATATGATATGTTTCTGATTTCTTCTCTCTATTGATTTTTCTTTCTTCTTCTTGTTCTTAAATGGTGATTTGCAGGGATCCTAAGGCACTTATTTATAGTAGAGAGGCTTAGTGCTAACACTATTACAAATAGTATACATACTATACAAATGACAACTTGATGGTGATGATGGACAATTTGTTCCTGTAACTTATGATGGAGCATGACCTAATTAATTGATAAATGAACAATTTATATTTTTCTTAACACAATTTTCTTTTTTGAAAAACTTTGAGTGTCACTTTCATGAACATATTTTAAATTTTTTTAAATTTTGTGCAAAGTCAAATTACAAATGTTTTTTGAAATTAGGGGAGTTATGGGTGGGCACGGGTCTGGATGGTTCGGATTTCATATTACCCTGCGTCCTGCCCCGTTATTTTCAAACGATTAAGAACGGTTCGGACCAAAAGCCTCTCCCACTTTGTCCCATAATTTTCAGATTGGGACAAAACGAAACAGATTCAGAATGTCCTACTTTGTCCTTGTTCGAAGTTAAGGATAAAATATACAGAAGGATGGAGAGGAAAATTGATACTCCCTCCATCCCAAAAAGTCCGTCCCATTTCGAAAAAATTGCGTCCCTTAAAGTCCTTCCCATTTATATTAAAAAATCACTTTTACCTCTTACGTTTTTATATCCTACCTATCACATCATACATTTTTACTAATAATCTACTTGTGACATCCTTCTTTTACCCATCACATCAAGAGTATTTTTAGAAAGTCAACACCAAAATATCTCTCCTTATTTTACCACTTTAGTCAAAATGGGACACTTTTAGGGACGGAGGGAGTATTTAAATTTACAAAAAAATTATGAAAATTAAAAATAATAAAGTTTGTAATAAGAATATCTTACAACAACTTACAAAATAAGGCAATATAAAAGATTAAAGCGGAATTAAATACAAGGAGGTATTGCA